TGATGGGTGGGTGAGAGGGTGAGAGAGTGAATGTGGTAAGACGGGTGATGAGTGAAGGGTGAGTGAAAAGATGGGTTGGTTGGGTGGATGAAAGAGAGAGAGTGGGTGTATATGGAGATGGATGGATGAGCGAGAGGACACGCCACTATGCGGGTATGTCGCCACATGAACGGCTGAATGTGGATGTCCCCATGTGGATGTCTAGCCGCACAAACATTTTGCCTAGTGGATGTCTGGATGAGTGGAAAGACTGATATGTGACAAGACAAGTTATCCACATGAACGGATGAACAAAATGTCGATAGATATGAAAGCCCAAATGCTCCTCCTGATGAGTGGATGAATGTGGATGACTGAACAGCTGTCCCTCTCTCATGCACTGGATCAGCAGGTGGATCAGACAGGCAGGACATGTTAGTCGAGTGGATAAAAAAATAGCTAGTTGTCATTCCAGGCAGAAAGTGGATATGTGGATGCGTCTCATCCTCTCAGGTGGGTGAGTGGATGAATTAGATATATCCACTATGCATTCGGCTGAAGAGATTGAAGAGGGAGAGGAGAGAAGAGAAGAGAAGGAAGAGGGAGAGAGAAAAGAAGAGAAGAGAAGAGAATAAAGAGAGAGAAAAGAGAATAAAGAGAGAGAAATTAAGGAAAGGGAGAGAAAAGAGAGAGAAGAGAAGAGAAAGAAGAGAAGAGAAGAAAGAGAGAGAGAGAGAAGAGATAACGAGAGAAGAGAAGAGAGGAAGGAGGAGAGAGAGAAGAGGAGAAGAGAAGAGAAGAGAAGAGAGAATGAATAAGAACGAAAACAAAGACCAGACAAATAAAAGCCCAAAAGAAACAGAAAAAAGGAGAGAAAGAGAGAAAGAAAGAAAGAAAAGAAAGAAAAAGTAATCATAAACACACATATGCAGTAAGGTCTTGCGAGGGGGGTAGGGGGGATGGGACAGGGCCAGGCAGTGGAAGGAATGCCAGTAGATCAAAAAAAAAAAAAAGAACACAGACGGCAATATTTAAAGGTTTATTTACAAAAAAAGGCATCACAATAGGTTCTGAGACTCACCTACAACATGGCTTCCGTCCCATCAGCTTAATATCATCCTTATCATCATTTTTTTTTTAATAATGAAAAAAAATGTTGTTGACTGTGATCAGGGTTTAGCTTCTCAAAGGATTTTTTTCTTTCTTTCTTCTCTTCCTCCTCCTCTTCTCTCTTTCGCTTCTTTCTCTTCCATTCGCTGTCTTGTCTTGTCTCTCTCTCTCTTCTTTTTCCTGTCTTCTTTCCTTCTTGCACGTCTCCTTCTCTTCTCTTGTTTATTTCTTCGTCTTTTCCGTTATCATTTTCTCTCCTCTCTCACTATTTCACTCACTCTTTTCTTGTGTCTTCTTCCTTCACTCTTTTTCATCTTCTCTCCCTTCCTCTCTTTCTCTCCTTTCCATCTTCGTAATATATATATATATACACCCTCTTCAGCCTTTTCTTTCTCTCTCTTTCTATTTCCTTTGCCTTTACTTTGTCTATCTTGTTTCCACCTCCTCTTTCCATAGGGAGGGGGGAGGGGTGGAAGGAGTCCTAGGGAGGGGAGGGATAAGAAGGAGAGGAGGAGGAGAGAAAGGAGGAAAAAGGAGGAGGGAAACAGGAGAGGGTAAGGGGTAGCGGATCACAGGGGGGGGGTGTTAGGAGGAGTGAGGGGGATAGGTGAGGGGGGAGGGGGGCTTTATACGTAGGATCCCCCCCCCTTTTGTATCATTTACCCCCCCACGCTGACTTGGTAACAACATCAAAGGCGCCAGGTTTTGGTATCGGAGAGCGGGGGTGGAGGGGGGGGTTGGTGCCCATATAGAAGGACAGGGGGGGGGTGCCAATATAGAAGGTGAACAAATGAGGGTATTTTCACGAGTTTGATATTTATTTTCCACACACACACACACACACATATATTATATATATCCCCCCCTTCAAAAAAATGTTCACTTTTATTTTTTCTTCTTTTATTCTGGCAACACTTGAAAGACACGGAGGTGGCAGGGGGGGAGGGTGGGGGGATGGGTACGACGAAGATTCATACATATATATATTAATCCACAGCACTGAGATTAACCAGATAAATATCCTATTTTCCTCCCTTTTTCTTCAATCTTTTATTGTTTGTCTCTCATTGTCTTTCCTCCGGCCATTTTTGTTGTTCCAATATATTTATTTTTTTTCTCCCCTTTTCCAATTGTCTGCCGAGACCTTTACAATAAAAGGCACTTGACAGTAATCCACATTTACGAAAATATATATATATATATATATACATATAATCAAACTATAATTTATTTTTCAGCCACATCCGAATGCTTTCTTTAGCTTCTTGGCCAAATAAATTCCTCCTTTTCTACTTCTTCCACTAAAATAGATATACGATTATTTATGTATATATAATATAGAAGATACACTTCCTTAAGACTTTCATTCTTCTACGCACACACCGACAGAATTCTAAATATGTACACGTTGATTAGCACCACCAGAGGCCTAAGGCATTTTTCTCCTTCTGCATTTTTCTCCTTCTGCTCTCCATGTCCGTCTCTTGGTCAGGTTACCGTCCTTCGCCGTCGCCTCTGGGCCTATGTTGAAGACACGGAACACTTCTCTCTCTCTCTCTCCCTCTTCTCTCTTTCTCTCTCTTTCTGTCTCTCTCTCCTTCTCTCCGGTCTGGTTCTCTCTCTCCGCACTGTCTGTCCACGGCTTCCCCTCCACCTCATTTGTATGCTTTTCTCTGTCTCCTCCTTTTCCTTTTTCCTCCTCCTCCTCCTATTTATCTCCCTCCTCTTCCTCCTACCGCATCGCATCCATCCTCCTCCTCTCCGTCGCTCCCCTCCTCCGCCTCCGCCTCCGCCTCCTGCTCCTCCTCCCCCAGGGGCCTCACCTCACCAGTAGGGCGAGTCGTCCACGCTGAGGTGGTTCCACGACGCGAATTCGCTCCACGCGTCCAGGTTCACTTGGTAGGCGTCCCTGGGCTTGCCTCCTGCTGCTTGGCGCCCTTGGGCCGGAAAGAACCAGCACGTAGTTCAGGTTGTTGTTGTTGTCCAGAACTCGGCGTCGCTGCAGGTGTAGCACACGCAGAACTCCAGCTTGTCCGCCTGGTTGGACGAGGGCAGCGGCAGGGCGAAGGTGAACGTGTCGTAGAGGTCGTAGGAGGCTCCCGTGGCGGTCGCGGCGGAGGGCACGTAGTCCGCGTAGACGTCGTCGTGCGCGAGCCAGTTGCTGGTCGTGTAGCGCACCTTCACCTGCTTGTGGTACGACAGGTTCCGACCTGCGGGGGAAGGGGGGTCAGAGGTCAGCCGCGGGTCAGAAGAAAGGGGAAAGGGAAAAGGGAACGAAAGCAGTAAGAGAGATAGATGATAATCATATAACAACAAAAGTGGGAAGATTCTAAAAATTCCTATAACATCGTAAAGAGAAAGAAGGGCAATGATATATACTAAAAAACTGGACAAATAAACAATTGAACATCAAGTAAACAAACATCTACAAATAAAAAAAAAATAAATAAAAAAAAACAATCGGCACAACAAACGAACGAACGAACGCACGAGACTCAACCCCACCTTAACCGTGCCGGTGACTCTGGCTTCGGACTCCTTGATCACCACGTTTTCCAGCGAGACGTTGTTGGTCTCTAACGGGCCTTCATCCCCAGAGTAGTCCGAGGCCGGCTGGCGGAAGGCGAGCTCCACTGGTCCGCCAGCGCCTCCGCCTGGGCGCCGCCGTCACCTGGGGGGGAGACAAGGACGAAGCCGTGGTCAGTGGGCGGGTTCGAACGCGTGGTAGTGGGAGGAGTGTGTTCATTCATAAACAAAAGCGGAAGTTTGGAGATTCATTCATGGAGGACTGACTGGTGATACGGTAGCATGGATAGATAGTAGATAGATAATAGATAGTAGATAGATAGATAGATAGATAGTAGATAGATAGATAGATATAGATAGATAGAGATAGATAGATAGATAGATAGTAGATAGATAGATAGTAGATAGATAGATAGATAGTAGATAGATAGTAGATAGATAGATAGATAGTAGATAGATAGATAGTAGATAGATAGCTGGTAGATAGATAGATAGATAGATAGATAGATAGATAGATAGTAGATAGATAGATAGATAGATAGATAGATAGTAGATAATAGATAGATAGATAGATAGATAGATATTAGATAGTAGATAGATAGATAGATAGATAGATAGATATATAGTAGATAGATAGATAGATAGATAGATAGATAGATAGATAGATAGTAGATAGATAGATAGATAGATAGATAGATAGATAGATAGTAGATAGAAGATGATAGATAGATATATAGATAGTAGATAATAGTAGTAGATAGATAGATAGATAGATAGATAGATAGATAGATAGTAGATAGATAGATAGATAGATATTAGATAGTAGATAGATAGATAGTAGATAGATAGATAGATAGATAGATAGATAGTAGATAGATAGATAGATGATAGATAGGATAGTAGATATAGATAGATAATAGTAGATAGATAGATTAGATAGATATAGATAGATAGATAATATAGATAGATAGATAGATAGTAGATAATAGATAGATAGTAGATTATAGATAGGATAGATAGTAATAATGATAGATAGATAGATAGTAGATAGATAGATAGTAGATAGAAGATAGATAGTAGATAGATAGATAGTAGATAGATAGGTAGATAGATAGATAGTAGAAGATAGATAGATAGTAGATAGATAGATAGTAGATAGATAGATAGTAGATAGATAGATAGTAGATAGATAGATAGTAGATAGATAGATAGTAGATAGATAGATAGATAAGATAGATAGATAGTAGATAGATAGATAGATAGATAGTAGATAGATAGATAGTAGATAGATAATAGATAGGATAGATAGTAGATAGATAATAGTAGATAGATAGAAGATAGATAGATAGTAGATAGATAATAGTAGTAGATAGATAGATAGATAGTATGATAGAGTAGATAGTAGATAGATAGTAGATAGATAGATAATAGGATAGATAGATATAGATAGATAGATAGATAGATAGATAGATAGATAGATAGTAGATAGATAGATAGATAGTAGATAGATAGATAGTAGATAGATAGATAGATAGTAGATTGATAGATAGTAGATAGATAGATAGTAGATAGATAGATAGATAGTAGATAGATAGTAGATAGTAGATAGAAATAGTAGATAGATAGATAGTAGATAGGATAGATAGTAGATAGAATAGATAGTAGATAGATAGATAGATAGTAGATAGATAGTAGATAGATAGATAGTAGATAGATAGATAGTAGATAGATAGATAGAATAGATAGATAGATAGATAGTAGATAGATAGATAGATAGATAGTAGATAGATAGATAGTAGATAGATAGATAGATAGATAGATAGATAGATAGTAGATAGATAGATAGTAGATAGATAGATAGTAGATAGATAGATAGATAGATAGATAGATAGTAGATAGATAGATAATAGTAATAGATAGTAGATAGTAGATAGATAGTAGATAGATAGATAGATAGATAGATAGATAGATAGATAGATAGATAGTAGATAGATAGTAGATAGATAGATGGTAGATAGATAGATAGATAGATAGTAGATAGATAGTAGATAGATAGATGGTAGATAGATATAGAGATAGATAGATAGTAGATAGATAGTAGATAGATAGATAGATAGATAGTAGATAGATAGATAGTAGATAGATAGTAGATAGATAGATGGTAGATAGATAGATAGTAGATAGATAGATAGTAGATAGATAGTAGATAGATAGATAGATAGTAGATAGATAGATAGTAGATAGATAGATAGTAGATAGATAGATAGTAGATAGATAGATAGTAGATAGATAGTAGATAGATAGATAGTAGATAGATAGATAGTAGATAGATAGATAGTAGATAGATAGATAGTAGATAGATAGATAGATAGTAGATAGATAGATAGATATATAGATAGTAGATAGATAGATAGATATATAGATAGTAGATAGATGGATAGATAGTAGATATATAGATAGTAGATAGATGGATAGATAGATAGATAGATAGTAGATAGATAGATAGTAGAGATAGATAGATAGTAGATAGATAGATAGTAGATAGATAGATATAGATAGATAGATAGTAGATAGATAGATAGTAGATAGATAGATAGATCGTAGATAGATAGATCGTAGATAGATAGATCGTAGATAGATAGATAGTAGATAGAAGATAGATAGATAGTAGATAGATAGATAGTAGATAGATAGATAGTAGATAGATAGATAGATAGTAGATAGATAGATAGATAGTAGATAGATAGGTAGATAGATAGTAGTAGATAGATAGATAGTAGATAGATAGATAGATAGATAGTAGATAGATAGATAGATAGATAGATAGATAGATAGTAGTAGATAGATAGATAGTAGATAGATAGATAGATAGATAGTAGATAGATAGATAGTAGATAGATAGATAGTAGATAGATAGATAGTAGATAGATAGATAGATAGATAGTAGATAGATAGTAGATAGATAGATAGATAGTAGATAGATAGATAGTAAGATGGAGTGACAGTGAATGGTTGATACACTCATTGATGGAATGACAGATGGATTGACAGAAAGGGAGACAGAGTAAAACAAAAAAAAAAAGAAAAGAAAAGAAAAGGAATTGCTTAAAACGAGAAAAAACGAAAACAAAAGAACGAGAAAAGACGAAAAGACTAAACAACAAAATCCCAAACAACCCCAAAGAGGAGAACGTCCCACCCCCTTACACCCCACCCACCCACCCCACCCCCACCCCCACCCCACCCACACCCCCTCTCACCTGCTCCAGGAAGTCGGCGGTCCATCTGGGCGGGCAGTCGGACCGTTCTGTGAGGAGGCGGACTTCTGTGAGCGGGCGACCTTGGTCATCGGCGAACACCACTCTCTTTTTTAATCGGGTCGGCGAGACGGCGCCCTCCTGCTGGTTGTGGGGGGGGGGAGAAGGGAGAAAAAAGGGGGGAAGGGGGAGTATTAGATATCTGGTTGATCGATAAGGGAGGTGATGGTTTATGGGTGATTTGTTGATGGCACTGATGTAGAAAAAAAAAAAAAAAAAAAAAAAAAAAAAAAAAAAAAAAATATTATATATATATATATATATATATATATATATATATATTATATATATATATATACTTTCTCTCTAACACACATACAATATACACTCAGTCACACACACACACAGACACAGACACACAACACACACACACATACACACACACACACACACACACACAGACACACACAGACACACACACACCACACACACAAACAAACACACAGACACACAAACAACACACACATCCATCCTTCCCTCCTCCCTCACACCTTCACACCCTCACCCACCCTCCTCCTCGTCCCCCTCACACTCACCTCATACTCGTCCTCCTGGCGTGCGACGAGGCATGACTTGATGGGCGCAAGGTGAGCGTGGGCGTCTCCACCACCTTCTTGGGGGGACCGCCTACTGCTCGCCCGCCTGTGCCAGAAGAAGAAGGGGGGGGAGAATATCGTTAAGCTTCCGTAATGGGGTTTTGCAATGGGTCTTTGGCGTGGATATTAATAAAAAAAAAGCCTTTCGTTGTGGTTTTCTAATGGCTATGGTTGAATGGATATCAATAAAAAAAAAACCTTCGCTTGGTTTTGTAATGGGTTTTTGTAATAGGCTTATGGTTGAATATCAATTAAAAACAACCTTACGTGGGTTTTGTAATAAAGTCTATGGTTAAGTGAACATCAATAAAAAAAAGACTTTCGTTGGTTTTGTGGTTTCTGGTTGAAGGAATATTCATTTAAAAAACACCTTTCGTTGGCTTTTGTAATGGGCTTTGAAACAGTCTATGGTTGAATGAATATTAATTTGATAATAAGGCCTACGGCAGGTTTAACGACCAGTTTATGGCTTCGTGGTTGAATAAAATGACAATAAAAATGTTCCCCTTCGTTAGGATCTGAAACCAGACCATCCTCTTATCTTTGAACCAAAGATAAGAGCTACAAAAGCGAAAAAAGGTGATAATAATAATAATAACTCCCATAACACCCCCTTCTCCCCCACCACCCACCCCGCCTACCCCTAATAACTCCCATAACACCCCTTCTCCCCACCCGACCAGCCTACCCGACCCGCCCACCCCACCGACTTCCCCCACCCGCCTACCCCCACCCGACTTCCCCACCCCGCCTACCCCGACCGCCTCCCCGACCCCACTTCACCGAGCCCGAACTCACCGAAAAGTGTTTCTGGAGAAGAGTCCCTGGCTGTACTCCGACGAGCAGGACGCCGACAGCGGACCCCCGTCGACCCCGCTTCTGAAACTGCTGGGGGAAGTGACTGCTGTGGCTGTGCTGTAGCTGTTGTTGTTGTTGTTGTTGGAAGAGGAAAAGGAAGACGAAGAAGAGGAAGAAGACAAAGACGAGGAACACTGTTGCTGTTGTTGTTGTTGTTGCTGTTGCTGAGGCTGCTGAAGTTCGCGTTGCAGTTGGCGTTGGCGCTGTGGCCCCAGAAGGTGTGCAGGGGGCTGGCCTGCAGGGGGCTGGGCTGGCAGGGGGCGACGCGGCCTGTAGCGGTAGTCTGGAGTAGTCGTGGATGAAGGGCTGACCAGGTAGCCCGAGGTCAGGACCGGGGATGAGCCGAGGTAATCTCCACGCCGTAGTCACTGGGCATCATCAAGGTTGTCATCAGGCCCTGGGGGGAGAGGGGGAGCTTAGAGGGGGTGCTGGGGGGTGAGGGTGAAGATGATGATGGTGAAGATGGAGATGGTGGTGTGGTGAAGATGATGGTGATGGTGGTGGTGGGGTGAGGGTGGTGGTGGTGAAGATGATGGAGATGGTGGTGACGGTGAAGATGATAGTGTTGGTGGTGAGATGATGGTGATGGTGGTGAGATGACGATAGTTGGGGTGGTGGTGATGCCAGTAGTGGCTGGTGGTGCAAAATGAAGTAGCACGGTGGTGGTGACGGTAATTATAGTCGTGGTGTTGATAATCACACGGGTAGTGATAATAATAACGGCGGCGGTGATGGTTGTGCTGGTCATGATGATGATAATCATGGCGGTCGTTGGTGATGATGGTGTTGGTGACTGATGGTGATGACAACTGATAAAATATAATAGCATAAATAGTAATTAAAGCGACGAGATACATAACAATGTTTTTAACTTAGACCCGAAGGCCAAAAGGCGAAGATGAAGCTCGTAAGGAACTCAGTTATCTTGTAATTCATCTTTTGATTCAAATTGAGAAGAAATAAGAATATAAATATTTACGCAGATCAACCTCATGTCGACGTATTTACACACACGCACACGCGCCACACACACACGCACAGTACACACACACAACACACACTCACACACACCACACACACACACACACACACACACACACACACACACACACACACACACACACACACACACACAACACACACACACACACACACACACACACACACACACACGGACGCCCGCACAAAAAATATCTACCCAAGAAAATGAAAAACCCACAAAACATTTTTCCAAAATGAATAAAAAAAAACAGAAATCAGAACCTATGTGTTTTTTTTTTCACGCCCACCGTCACCTGTAAACGACGCCCACAC